TTTTTAATTTTTTTAACTAGTAAGTAATTAATAAAATCAAATTTTAATTTTAAAGTTATTGTAAAAAAGACATAATTTATATTTTGACTATTTCGAAAATTATATTGCTAACAGCATTTATTAATACATAATTTATTTGCTAATGTACTAAATATACTGCTATTACTAAAGTGGCATTATTGATTTTTAGTCTACATAGCATAATATACACCAAATAAATGCAACTAAAAATATTTTATAATTATAAATTTATTATAAATACTTACAAATTAAATTCTTTATCACTTATATGATCATTGACAATTAACTATATTCAACCTTATTGTATTAATATAAAACAATTCACTACACATTTAATAATCAAAAATTAGATAAACATGTAAACACTTTAGGGTGTGCTATACTAAAAATAATACTATTGTCATAACACACAGTAGGCTATTAGAGTATAGTAGAGCTATTAAGGTCACTTTGGCTATTAAGTTAGCAAAAAAGTCTAGACAATTATATAGCTATGGCAACCTAGTATTTAATGTACTATACTGTAAACTTTCACAGAATATTCTTAACATATTATACATTAGTTTTAAAATTATTAAAAACAGTTTAATTATACAGAGAAATAATAGTTAATAATTAGTGAGTGAGGGAGAGAGAGAGAGAGAGATACTTAATATACAATATAATGCACAAATAATATTTATTGATAAATTAAATATTACATAAAATTGTAACAAACAATTGACCTAATAAAATGAGTAAAAAATACTTGTAATAAAATATCAATAATATAGTAATAAAATATTAAAAGTACAATAAACAATAACAAACAATTAGCACCATATTTAATTAGCAGATTAAATAATGTTAATAAACTTCAATTTAACTTGCTGAAAACTCCAACCACATGCCCAATATGCCGCCGATATCGGGCAGAAAATATTTTACTTTATTTAAGCATGCAACACTATTTGATAATTAAATTTATATTAATTTAAGGTATTAAACAAAATAAATTATATTATTTTTTTGGGTGCATGGTTACATAATAGTCATGTTAGTTGTATGATATTATACAAGGTTAAAAGCTTTACACTACTCTAAATGTTTGCCCAGTGAACCTTACTGTGTGTATCAAATAGTATTATATTTTGTATATCACATACTGGAGTGTTAGCATGGTGACACAATTGTTAGTTTAACAACATTTTAGTATTTTAAAAGTAATAAATAACGATAATCGGAAGCAATATATTTTATTATGTATGCTACTCATTGATCATTTATGTGACTTGTTAATAATATATTATAATTTGTTTAATTATTTTCAATTAAATATCTACCATTTTCCTTGTTGAATAATATATTATAGAATATAATAAATATTCAGTAAATTACAAAATGAATATAATTTGTGGGTAGATTTTATTTGGCGCATTTATTTATGAATTTATTTTAATAAAACTAATTATTTTTAATATACAATGTATATTTAATAAATAAATTTTAGTGAAATACTAAAATGTGCATAGTAAAATATTTGTATGTTTTTAAACTGAATAAAAATTAAAATATAAATAGTATAATGTGTATGAATACACTATAATTAGCTTACAATAAAAAATATATGAGTGTTACAACTAACAGTTAATTATGTACGGTATATATTTTTAAAATATTAAAAAAATGATTTAATATTGTTATACTGTATAACCTTGGACCATTTCTGGCAAATTCAAATGTTTAAATAGTATGTGATTAGTTTTTAAAATAATTTTTGGATTAATTTCAAAAATTATATAATACACATTTTGTGTTATGGTCAATAGTTTGTTATGTTGTATGAGATATTTATTGTTACAAAATGCAATGTATAGTAAACTAATTGAATTAATAAATTGTTTGTAATCTGAAACATTTAATTTACCGTACTTAAAATAAATCATGAATATTATAAATAATTTTCATTTTTAAATGCTCAATAACATTATCGTAAATTAAATATCTATTTATATTTAATTGAAATTTTTATGTATATAATCATAATTTAGATTTTTAAAATTGAAGTTAAACTACCTTAACATGATTGTAAAATTTATAAAACTAGCTTAATAATTTTTGTTAACATAAAGTATGTGGTCAAACCTATTAAAAATATTAATGACATTAAACGGCCACTTAACGGCACGTAACGGGAGAGGTGGGGCTACAATATCCAGGGTATCCTAGAGTATCCAGGGTAAACTCTGGGAATGGGTGTCCAAAAACGAGTCAATGTTACGATATTAGGAATGTATGTATTTTATAGCAAAATGTATAGAGTTTTTATAGCGCTATAACCACCGATTTGGACACCTAAGACATTCCCATAGTTTACCGTACCTGGACACTATTACTATACCATACTATACGAGTGTAATACAGCCGGGTTTAATTGCAAGTTATATCAGCATTGAATACTGAGCAGAGCATGGCTACAGCCGTTGGACTCAATGTTGACAAAAGTCAATCTATAAAAATCTATCAGTATACATTCAAATCATCATAATTAATCTCTTATAATACCGTTAAATTATTGTTAAAATAAAATTCTTTTAAAATGACCCTCGGTACTTGATTTGTATGCATTATTTGAATATATCTGGTAGACCAATATGAGAAGGACCTCTGAAAAATTGCTTTTATTTCTTATTGAAACATTGCTTTTCTGTAAAGTTTGAAGTTTATCAAGTTTAATATAAGTAATTTTCAAACTTTACAGAAAAGCAATGTTTCAATAAGAAATAAAAGCAACTTTTCAGAGGTCCATCTCATATTGGTCTACCAGATATATATATAAATTTATTTTGTGCCTCAATGATAAATATAATTAATTTATTAGTTTTTAAAATTCGTTGCAATAAATAAGCCTACATAATAAACTTTAGACTCGTTTCATAAGATAGTTAATTAATTATAAAGAACTCGATCGATATTTTAATTTATGTTATTTACGTAAATTAAAATTAAATTCAGCCAATTCTGCGCGTAGACCAAAATGTCATTATAATTGTGACCACTATTAGTGAATAGAAATAGACATATAAACGGGTACAAATAATAAAATTAATTCATGGGCGTCATTGGGAGTGGTCAACACCTAAACTAGTACCACCCCCACCATTAACTAAATTACACACGTGTCACTTTATACAGTGGTACATGTAAGGGGACAGGCATACTACTACAGAGCTTTGTTAAAGTACTCGAGTAAAAGTTAATCCAAATATTTAACACTAAAACTGATTTTTAATTAAACTTTTTCAACGCGTATGAAAGTATAGCCAACACTGACAGCCCTAACCACATGCCCAGTAGTCCACCAAAATTGGATAACAAATCGATAAAGGTCATTTCAGGTATGTGTTCAGTTTCCTGGTCCGGTAACTGATCATGCACAATATGTATCCATATGTATGGTTGGCCTACTTCGTCTACGGACTTAATATCCAGACTGTAATACCTGTTCACACACTCCAGGCCACACCTGTCCACACATAAGCCGTCCATTTTATAAAATAAATTTACCTTGCAGATTTGCAATTCCGAATTGTCTGTTACATTATAGTGAGTATGGTCAGTCGAAAATTGTTGCTTTACAAACTCGCATACTGTTATATTATTATCGGGGTGCAAAGTGTTTGCCCTCCATAGCCTGCCAGATATAGGGATGCACCTGGTACAATCGTATGATCCCGATAAATGGCACGCCATACAATGATCTGAAACAAATTAAAATTATCTAAGTTAAATACAGCATGATACTTTTAAAAATAAAACTACCCTTCCAATAATTGTAAAAACATTTATTAAGACAATCTGAGCGTAATTGATGTTCAGGGTGCTTTGTATTATCCAGATCATAATCATGGCACATAGACTGAAATGGTCTAGGTTGTAAAATAGTTTTCCATCGGTTATACGTCACATGTATCTCCGTACCCATGTCAAGGTCAATGAACGAGTTAAAATTAGATCGTTGCGGTATCACATTGGGCGAATGCATGGCAAACATGAGTGCCTTGCGCATTTTCGCATTTACTGGGTACCAGCGTAAAGTGAGCGTGGTATCAATCTTAATCTTTTCGACGATCAACTTGTATCCACGCCATTTTGGATTTAAATGGCTAAAAAATGTGAAACATTTTGTACCCTCACGCCACTTACCAAACGAGTAAGATTCAATAGGATCCATGTCCTTTAGTACAGTTTTTCCATATCCATTCTCGTCGTATTGTACACCCTTTACAGTGATATCAACAGGGTAATTGAGCTCATTTTTATCGTCACGAAACTGCTTAAACGGTATACTAATATCGTGTATGCTTTCCAACGACATACTATATGCTGAGTTAAACTTTGCTGCAAACACGCCGTAATACTTGTGAAATAATATATTCATAAATGTCTTGTTCGTGAACTGGGTATCAGGTATATTTTCTACAAGACCAAGGTATTCATCGTATGTGGGCTGAAGTTCAGGGTACTTCATGGCCATGAGCTCCATGGATAGGAAGGTGGGGTAGCATATGGTGATCGCGGGTATGGCCGCTATATTTTGTTGCGTAAACTTAATGTTGACATAAGTCTGATATTTAAGGTACTGAAGGGCCAGTTGTTTAGTGTTAGATAAAAATCCGAATATACATAGAATTATGATCCCGGTTCTTATTAGTAAAATTTTGCGTGCCTTTGAGGGCATTTGTTGCCATCGTGTTTGTAGGCGGTTAAGGCCGGTATGTTTTTTGTTATCCCTTTTTGGGTTAGATTTTAATTCAATTTCTTCTGACATTTCGTTGGATTTTCTGGAGAGATATTAGGAATGAATGTATTTTATAGCA